CTGCTAAGGAAAAGAACTAGGATCCAAACCCAAGACCACTTCTCTCTAGAGAGTGTGCCCGAGCCAGCACACTGCACAGCCACCGTGGCTGCTCTCTAGCACAGGCCCGCACTGCTGCACAGGGAAGTCTCGGGAATAGCTTCTTGTTGCCCACCTTGCTTCAAGTCTTCCTTGGCCTCCTCCAGTTAACCTGTGCGTGTCAGATTTGCTTTCTTCAAACACCGCTCAGATCACATCATTTCTCTGATCAAAGCTTTCAGTGGCTCCCCACTGGCTACAAGATCAGGTTTAATCTCTTTAGGCATCTAAGTTCCCTTTAGTCTAGCTCAAGCCTTCTTATCCAGCCTGACTCCCCTCACAGCCTATCCCAAAGGTTTGCTGTTGTGCTTATCCAAGTGCCATGAGTTATTTGTCTGTGAGTTGCAATGAGGGCGGGGGCCTTGTCAGTCCAATCTCTGCATGACTAGAGTCTGGCACATAGTAAGTGCTCAACCAACAGTTGTTGGGTGAGGGAGTGAATGAATCGGTGCATGCCATTCCTCTGGCTTGCTTGCTTGCTTACCTAAAGCACCAGTCACTCCTCCCATCTGCAACTTGCCAGGCGGCAGGACCAAGCTCAGATCCACCTCAACAGCAATGGCCTCTCCAGCCAACCCAGCCCACCATGATCTCCCCCTCCTCCAAGCCCTTCCTCAAGGAATTTCTATCCTAGTAACTCACTCAATATGTGTCACTTACTGATGTGAACCAGCATGGTTACCCATGCCCAAGAATGTTCATTTTTGCATTGTCTGTAATAGTAAACAACTGGCAATGATCTGCAGCAGAGATTGTCAGCTGCCTCCCAAAATCTCTATCCTTCTTCCTTCTTCCTTAAGATAAAAATACTGACCTTTAGCTAAGCCCACTGCTGCCCAGCTAAACACAACAAACAAACAAAATGAAACAAAAATCTACTTGTCCCATCTTTCATTGCTGCTACTTATGGCCACAAAATGTAGATTTTGGTCAATGAGATAGATGTAAGGAGCCTTGTGTGTACAACATCTGGGAAGTGTCATTAGGGACACAGCTTTCTCTTCCCTATACTCTGTCCCATTGCCTGGAATTCAGATGTGACCTTGGAACTCTAGCAACTACACTGGACCATGAGGACAAGGACATGAAAGGGCAGTGAGCTGAAAAGAGCTTGGGTATCTGCCAGCGTCTTGAGATGTTACAGCATCCCTATACCGCCTGCCTCGGCACTTCTTTTCAGGAGAGAGAAATGAATGTCTATCTCGTTTGCGCCACTGTGATCTAGGTTTCTCTATTTCATGCTGCCAAGCTGGCACACACTACAAATGCCCATTAGGAGAGAAATGAAAAAATAAGATTAAGCAGATCAATATGAAGGTAGTTAAAAGAAAAGAAGTGAACCTATCTACCTACCTCTCTATTTACCTATTTGAGAGAAAACAGGCCATACGTGCACCACGATATTCTTAAGCAAAAGAATACATTTGGCTGGGCGTGGTGGCTCACACCTGTAACTTCAGCACTTTGGGAGCCCAAGGCAGGTGGATCACCTGAGGTCTGGAGTTTGAGACAAGCCTGGAGGACATGGAAAAACTCTGTCTCTACTAAAAATATATTTTTAAAAAATTAGCCAGGTATGGTGGCAGGTGCCTATAGTCCCAGGGGGCTGAGGCACGAGAATCGCTCCCAGGAGGCAGAGGTTGCAGTGAGCCAGAATTGTGCCACTGCACTCCAGCCTGGATGACAGAGTAGGACTTTGTCTCAAAAAAAAAAAAAAAAATAGATTTATTTATTACTTGTATAATAACAAATAACAAAAGCTTTCATTATAAAAATTGTTAATTATTTCTACTCTGTATGTACCTTGCCCACTCCACAATCTTTCAGACTTCCCAGTGGCAGAGAAAAATAACTGACATTTTTTGCGTGTCTGTTATTCTCCCTAGCACATAATAGATACTAATATTTGACTGGTGAAAACGTCTGGAAATTTGTCAAACATGACTGTCTACAGAAACACCAGCAGTAAATGGGGACTGGGAATGTGGACTTAAAAAATTAGATCTCTCATACTTAATAACTGTATGGTCTGAAAGATCATTCACTTTCTGTTACCAGTTCTAACATAGACGATATTATACTCCGTTGAATATTAAAATGTTTTGCTTGTCTTCCAGTCCTCTACTCTCCACCAAATTTAATTCACCTTCCAGTTTAAAATAAATAAGTGTTTTGAATTCTCAAATGTTGGTGGTGAAGCTCAATGGTACGAAAGGCTGAGGGAAACAAAGGCATGAAAAGGAATAGCATAGCATTGTTTTACAATGTATGGTTTGAGAGAGAAAATTAAGGCTCCTTATAGATCTGACAGATTCAAATCTACTCTTACTCTATGTATTTAGTGATTATCTTCCAGAGACAAGATTTGCTTCTATTGGCTGTGAAAATCCACCTTAATTTTGTACTGTTCATCAGCAGACTTCATTTGGGACCCATTGAGAGGTAATAGGGCACAGCATAGAAGTTTATTGGAAAGACCACCTCTTGTTTATTTCATAATTATACATTTGACATTTGGAAATTCCTACTTGTTACTAGTCACTTAATTAGGTGCCCCAAAGTTCATAAAAAATCATAGGTTTAACTTCAACTTAAAATATCCTTTAACTCCTCTTGCTCTGAAATTCGATCTCATCCACTGTAAATGCAATTACATTCCTGACAAATGACTGCTGATGATAATAGACTTGATTTAAAGGAGAGAAATCTAAACATGCAATGATCTGATTTTTTTAAAAAAAATCTGTGTGTCCACGGAAAGAAGGTGTGGAACAGATAAATCAATTCAAAAAAAAAAAAAAAACCCTAATCATTGACTTAACATTCAGCAAATCATTAAATAAAGCTGGCATTAATGGAGATTTACATAAATAGTCTGAATGGTGGGTGACCTTCAGGAAAATTGCTGTTAAGACAAAGGTCTTTGCATATCTCTTCAAAGATGTTTGACAAGAGAATGACTCTCTGCTGCTTGTCTTCATTTATTATAGGTTTCATTTAGATCACCAGGAATTCTGCTGAACGATATCTCTTGCCTAAAGCCAAAAGTATCTGGTGATTTTGGGCAGTTTACAAACATACATACACACAATACCCAAAATAATTATTTCTAGAAGTGCAAATTAGGGAAAAAAAAGGACTTTTTTTCTCATGAGCAGCCAGTGATTTCCAGAGAAAAATGAGGATGATCTTAATTGTGAAAGCACTTTTGGTAACAAAGGATACTATAAAAAGCTAGAATACTACTCTAAATTAGTATTTCAAAATGTATTACTAAAAACTTTGGTTTATCAATGTGCTTCACACAAAAAAAATTCTGTTGTCAAAAGAATATGAAATATGATGCTTAAGACCTCCTTTCAAAGATAGTCACATTAGCACATGACATTCTATAAGCATATTAAAGGCTCTGAAAAGCCCTGCAGTGAAGCAACCTATGTAAAGATAACCAGATATTCTTCCCCAAAATAACTTGTATCACTATGCCACTTTGAGAAAGTATGCTCTAAATTAAGAGTTTAAGGTTGGGTTTTCACTTTGCATCATAATCCTCAACTAAATGCTATTTGTTATGAAGGTTATTTACCAAATGCCTGCCATAATTAAAGCACCACAAGGGAACAAGAGGTGAAAAAAGTAAGATCATGGCCAGGCTCCGTGGCTGATGCCTATAATCCCAGCACTTTGAGAGGATAAGGCAGGCAAATCACGAGGTCAGGAGTTCGAGACCAGCCTGGCCAACATGGTAAAACCCCATCTCTATTAAGAAATACAAAAAAATTAGCTAGGCATGGTGGCGGGCACCTGTAATCCCAGCTACATGGGAGGCCGAGGCAGGAGAATCACTTGATCCCAGGAGGCAGAGGTTGCAGTGAGACAAGATCATGTCACTGCACTCCAGCCTAGGCAATAGTGTGAGACTCCGTCTCTAAATAAATAAATAAATACATAAATGTAAGATCATTAATTTCCAGGAGCTTATGCTCAAGTAAAAAGCCTAACATGCAAACACCAAATTTAAATGTATCATGATAAATGCAGGCAACAATTGCCATACTTAAATTGAACAGGGGAGGTTTCAGAGTTGGTGGCATTTCAAGCTGAATCTTCAATAAATAATTGGATTTCATTTGGGAAGAGATTGATGTTTGGAATTACAAGGCACAAGGATGAAGGGACAGAAAACTCAAGATGTTCTGGGAAATAATGAATGGACTAATTGGCTAGAGGAGAGATTTTGGGTAAAGGGCCTATAGACTAAATGCTGGAAAGCTCACCAGCAGTTTCAAAGAGAGGTCAGATTCTGAGGATGCTTGAATGAAAGGCTAAGGAGGGTGGACATTATTAGGTAGGCAATGTAGAACACAGAAGAGTTTTGAGGGCAATATGATTAAAGTCTTTGCAGAATAGTTTGTAATGCTGCTCTCGTTCTGGAAGTGCAGCCACCAGAGGCGTCTTAGCCTCCACTTGGATCACAGCAATATACAATTTGAGATCTTAAACAAATTTGTGTTATGAAGGTTCAAAGAGTGCACATTTTATCAGATATACTCAGAAGCAACCAAGAGACTAGAAAATTATAGTTAAGAAATACCAGAGAAGGATGATAATGCTGCTTTTTATAAATCTAATATGATGGCACCACAAATGAGTAAACCTGAAATATCACCTTCTGCAACTCCCACTGTCACTTGGGGCGGTAACCGTGGAATGTTCTGCAAAACGGCTGAGACCAATTTTGCTACTGCAACTTTTATTGGTTACAGGAAGTTACCTTTAGCCCTCAAAGCCACACACCATTCTAAGAGTCTACATGGAACAGAAGTACAGGTTGAGCATCCCCAATCTAAGAATCTGAAATCCAAAATGCTCCAAAATTTGAAAATTTTTGAGCAATAATATGACACCACCAGTGGAAAATTCCACACCCTGATCTCATGTGACAGCTCACAGTCAAAATTTTGTTTTATTCACAAAATTATTTAAAATATTACATAAAATTAGCTCAGGTTATCTGTATAAGGTACACATGAAACATAAATGAACTTCACATTTAGACTTGGGTCTCATCCCAAGATCTCTCATTATATATATGCAAATATTCCAAAAATCTGAAAAACTCCAATATCCAAAACACTTCTGGTCCCAAGCATGTCAAAACACTTTTCAACCTATTTTTCAGGCAAGGAATAAACTGGCAACTCCATATACTTAAAGACCAAAAATAGGAATTATACTATTTGATTTTTAAAACCCAGTGACATTTTGGGTTTTGCTTCAAAAACAGTTTCACTACCACAATTGCCTCACCTCTACCAGAGTATTGACTAGGAATTTGTAATTGTCTTTATAGGAGGGTGAAAAAGATTGAACTGAGACATGGACAATTCTTTCAAAATATCAATAAAACGTAGGCAGTCTGTTCATAATATCCAGAATGGATCTCTTCCTACAAGTGGTGTTTCACTGGGAAATGAAGCAGTTTTATCTAGGAAACACTCTATGGACTTTCAAAACAACTGATCACCCAACATATTCAAAGTCTTGATTAATTCAAATAATTGGTGTAAACAAGTGTTTGGGTTAATTTACTAAGTAACTAAAGATTACTGTTTTGTTCTCCTAGTCCTTTGTGCTAACATCTTCCTGAAATGAGTTAACTCGGATTGCTGCCTTATCCAGTGCATCATCTAGATCAGTGATTCCCAAACAAAAATGACACTGGACTGTCTATATCTGAACCATGAGCAGAGCTTCTGAGAAATGCAGATTTCAGGCCTGCATCTATCCCACCCCATGCCCATCCTGATTCTGTGTGGGTCTACGTGAAGTTTCAGAAATATTTTTTAATTATCCAGATTTTGGAAACTACTAATCTTGATGATAACTGGATTTTTCTTAGATGGTCCACAATATCAGAAGGGCCATAAGAACTCCAGAAGAACTCTAACAATACTGCTATGATAGAGACAGGGCTAGGTGGATACCAAACCCTATCCCTTTTTCTTCCTGGGTACAGAGCTAAGCTACATTTCCCAGCCTCCCTTGCAGTTAGGTGGGGTCATGTGACTGGCCCCTGGCCATTGCAATCTGGATAGAAAAGCTGTGTACCACTTTCAACCCTGGCCCCAAATAACTTCCCAGAGAATCTTCCAGCTGGCTGCCTTCCTTTGTTTGCCAGTCAGGTTCCTCAGACTCAGGGGAGAACGGTGAGATCCTAGAGGAATATCAGAGCCACAGGACAGAAATAGTTCAGGTACCTGAATGAGTATGTGGAGCAGAGCAACCACCACCACCGACTCCCATTGGATTGTGGGTGAATGAGACATTAACTTTTATAGTTGAGCTACTGAAGTGCAGGGATTCTGTCACAGACATTAGCTTACCCTTACTAAAACAACCACATTAATGTTTTTTGCAGACTTTGCAATAGACCAAGCATTTCAAAATCATAAAGAAATATGCCCATATTTTAACATCTAACAAAAACGCATTAGACCATAGGCCATATTTAACCTTTAGAAGAAACTCTGATAGGAACTTATTTATTCTATGGTTTTCCTTTTTCTTTTGAAAGTGGAATATGGAAAATGTGGGGGAAGTCTGGCTAATTGAGAGCTTTGGGTAATAAGATTTTAATGTAATAAATTTTTCTAACAGTTACAGGAACAAAAATGAAATAAAGTAACTAATAAATCTGAACTTTCAGAGACCAAATGGATACAGAATGAAAGACTGTGAAAACCTAAGAACTAACAGAATCACATAACCTGTAGTATTCAAAAGGTCACGATATTTACTTAGTTTTGAAAAAGTCTGTAGGAAGAAATTCTACCACTGAGCTCATCATTGTCCTTATTTGGGTGGTAGTTTTACGTATAATGTAGAATTATGTATTAATGAAATGTACCATTTTCAACCCTGGCCCCAAATAACTTCCCAGAGAATCTTCCAAACTGGCTCCCTTCCTTTGTTTGCCAGAGAGGTTCCTTAGACTCAGGAGAGAACAGTGAGATCCTAGAGGAATACTGGAGCCAAGGGACAGAAATAGTCCAAGTACCTGAATGAGTGTGTAAAACCCTCACTAAGAGGACAAGATGAGGAGTCAGACAGAGCTGGGTCTCAATCCCAGCACTTCTGCTTACAGGTTAGGAAATCATGAATAAACTCACTCCCAGCATCCACACAATGTTGAGGATATTAACTACTTTGCTGGATTGATATTAGGTTTAAATGGCCTCTAAGGCACATTGTAAATATTTAATATTTGCTTGTATTAATTTTAATGTGGTTGTTAGTTGCACTTGTGTTTTTTTTTGTTTTGTTTTGTTTTTTTTGTTTTAGGAAAGTGAGTTATTGTCTACATACACAAGGAAGATCTTGAGAACTTAGGAGCCATCACCAGCTAGTATCTTTCCCAAAAGAAAGACAAGGGCCCAGGTAGTGGCAGTGCCTAGAATTCTATAGGTTAACACCGTGCTAGTAAAGCAACTAGTGTGCTAATGTCTATGCGTCTATATCCTTCATCTGCCAATGGTGAAGACCAATAGGTCTTGGACAAGGATCCCTGGTGCTTAAAGGTCCTCTGAAAATGGTAAAACTCTCCCTGTCCTTAACGAGAAGGCTGTCTGCCTGTCATGGTCCTCCAATCTCAGCAGGCTTGAGCTCATAGCGAAGCCCCTCTCAAACACACGTGATCCATGAGAGGGAGCCGAGATAACTTGACTGGGCTGCATCCACCTCCCTCTGCCTGGCCAGCTGGAGACAGCAGTGGGAGCTGCCACCTCATTTCTTTTGATAAGCTACTGAGGAGATACAGTGTCTTCCCCAGTTTTCTAAGTTTTAGTTTGAAAATTGAATTCGGGAACTTGTCAACTCTGACAGCAGAGCTTTAAAATTCAGTTCAAAGACAATCTGCTTGTACTTTAAAAAATTCGTCTTCTGACTTCAGAGCAATAGGATTTTTCAGAATCTTCACTATGGAGGGAATGAAAAACTTCAGTTTTCCTTCTTTCCAATTAAACTTGGGTTTTTTGTAAAAACCATTACAAATTTTTTCTCTTCATACACCAGTTCTTCTCCTCTAAACTGCCTCTTTCAGCAAACAGAGCTCAGCCCTACATTTCAAAAGCAAGGCTGAGACTTTTGTGCAATGCAGCCCTTTCTCATGGGCAAACACTGAGGACGAAAATAGATAATACACACGAGATTAATCACAAGCCAACACTGCACAAGTGACAGGATTCATGACACTTGAAGCTTTAAAAATAATAATAAGCAGTCTATGAAAGAACTCACTTCCTTCCTTAAAGTTATAAAAGTCATACTTGGCAGCAGAGACCTCCATCGGAGGCTATATTGAGAGGTAAAATTACCAGGACTCAAAGGGATAGGTCAAAACCCTAAACATGGCAGGGAACCAAAGGTAAAACCACGATCCAATGACAGACAGCAAAGGCCTGTTAATGCCTGGGAAATTACATGGTGAATTTCTTTTCTGACATTTCATTCACACAAGAATAACAGGACCCTGAAGTTAAACAATGACATTCCAAAAGGAAACACCTCCACGGATGACACTCCTTGCATAGTTCAGCCTCCAGGGCATACACCCAAACCAGAATTTCATATTACTCAGGCGTGTGTGGGAGGCAATGCGGGGAGGACAGAAGGGAAGGAGAAAATGGGGAGAGATCAGAGAAAGTGGAAGCCAATATTTCTGCAGAAGGTGGAGGGAGGAGAAAGGTGACAGTCAGTTCATTTCTGTTCCTTCCCAAAGGACTTGAGCTTTCAGTTCATAGATTTTTTCTTAAGTGACATTTGAAAGGTTCTGCTATCATCCATTCATTTGGGTTCTGCTTGGCCTTTAAATGTAATATTTCAACTGAGAGTTCAAGCAGGTAGGGGCAGGGGGGAGGGTTAAGATGTTTTCATGAAAAGCAACCAAGCCAGACAGTTCTATTGTCAAGAAGACCCCACTGAAAGCAGGAATCATTAAAATTAGCCATTTTGGCTAATTTTACCCCTCAGGTCTAGGGGGCACAAGCCCACTTGCCTGGCCTTCCAGACTGTTTCATTCTTCTGAGCAAGAATGAATCAAAGGGAAGCAATACCGTGATCCAGAAAAATCCTGTGAATGTTGGGGAGGGAAGGATAGCTGTTTCCATTTAACCAACAAAGGCAATGGAGGAAAATATTTTTCAGTAATTGGGAACTCATGAAAAACAAAGCTCCATTAATTCCAAAGGCAACTCCTAAGTTTTAGTTGTTAATTTCGGTCACGTTGCCTTGGTTGGAATGATGATCATTAATTATTCCTTTATGAAGATTTACATTCAAATTTGTCTCAAAATGACTAGAACAATGGATTTTAACTGAGTATAACTAATATATTATGTTTGAAGTCAATTCCTAAAATAAATAACAGAACAGGTTTCGCATTGTACAGCATAACAAAACACATACACACACACACACACATACACACACACGCACTTACACCTCCAAAAACGTCACATTTGTTTTCTTCTTCTTTAGATAATAAACAGAACTGCTTGTTCCAGGTGATACTGAATGGCCTATGCACCTCCCTTCACGCCTGCATAGGCATAACCATTTCAAAAAGGTGATTATAAACAATATCTTATATTCTGGTGTTCCTTCCTCCTGAAACTTCAGACTAAAGAGATTGAGTTTCCCCAGTGAGTCTCAGAAACACAAAACAGGATGTTTAATTTGTTTAAGTTTCCAGAGCAATTTACCGGAGACAAAAATAAAATACCATGGCATTTTGCTGGCATCTTAAAAAAAAAAAGAAACCTTGTCTTGGAAGCACAATGAACCTCATGAGATCTCAAACACGAATCCTCTATTTGTATGCTCACACATTTTTATGATTTTGTTCACTGAAGAACAGTTTAACATATTCCAACCCATGCACTTAGTGAAAGAAAAGCTTCCAAGGAAACAGGTCTTTTTATGAGGCAGCCCCCAAGGTCTCCAGCAGCTAAACGGACGTAAGTAGCCACATACAGTCCCTATTCCAGCCGTGGTAAGCAAATGACTATGTTCACTGGATCATCTCAATTTGAAAAAAGGTTCTGCTGCTTAATCAAACAGAGCACCAAGCTCGGTGTCAGCACTGAGTTTAAAAATCTTTAAAGAAAATTTCTATGCCTGTGAGTAAGGTATTATTAACTATGCTTTCATCATTTTTAAATAAAGCTTAAAATGAGAAGAATGATTTTTTAAAAGCAAAAGAAATTCTTTATCTGTAGCCCCTGGCTTAGATATTGTGCAAAACAGCCCAAGGAGGTCAAAGGCAGACATAGTTTAAAAAATGGTGGGTCACTTTATTATTTTTTTAATCTTACTCTTCAGGATATTCAC